GGAAAAGGAGAACATCGATGGCAAAACAGATGCTAAGCTGTCCTAAGTCAACAAATTATTTTGCAATACTGATCAATCTGCATAATATTGTTATAAAACAGGACTGACATAGAGTTTGGGGAAAACTAAGAAAAGACAGTTAAAAAATGAACATTGCATTTAAATAGATGAGGGAAAGAACTGTCTAAAAGAAATATATGATTAGGTATTTGCATGACAACAGTCCAGAATAAGAGGTGCACAGCAAAGTGGACTGAGGGGGCAGGGAGGAAACTGTGCAATGAAAGAATCTTTTTAAAGAAAGAGCGAAAAAAAATAAAAAAAAAAAAAGAAAGAGCGAAGGAGGGGGAGGTAGATAGGGAGGAAAATATGCAACAATGAATGAATGTAAATCCAAGTTTTCTATAAACTTTTATTAAAATATCAATAAAAAAAGAATTTTAAAAAATAGGTTGTTGTTGCTAAGTACCACCAAATACATTTTGACTCCCAGCAATCCCATGTGACAGAGAACGACCCTACAGGGCTTTCTTGGCTGCACTCTTTATATAGAAGCATATCTAGGGCTTTCTTTTGAGAAGTAACAGGTTCGGCTCAGACCATCAATATTTTCTATTAGCCGTAAAGCATTTAATCACTGCAAAAGGACTCCTTAAATTAACAGGCATAAGACAATATATTTGATTAGTCTTCCTTAACCAAGCAGAATTACCCTAAGGAAAATTTCTGATATACTCCTATTAAATGGCTACAAAATTTTCATGATGTCCCATGAAACATCACATAGACGCAAGCAAACAGTATCTTAATACTGATCTGTATTTTCATATTCTGAAGTATATTTGTGTCAAGCTTTATCACTGTGACAAATATGGAGGATGTTTTCACTTTACAGCCCTGAAGTAGTCCTTCTAAGATCTCAGACTTCTTTCATCATGAACATAAAGTGTTTGGTATGGATAACATAACAGTTACTGCTGGTAGGTGCTATCAAGTCGACTAAACTCATGGTAGTAAGTCTATGAACAACAGATCAGAACCTTGGCTTATCTTACACCAACATCAAGATCTCCATCACCCTCAAGCTCTCTAGGGAAGCTACACTGTAAACACTGCTTAAATTTTAAGACTGTATGCTGAGGGAAAAAAACAGCTACCTTGGCAAAATGCTAGCAAGTCATTATTCTAAAAATAGATTTAAAGAACCAAACATTTATTCTGCCTTAAGGATCTGTCATCAAATCACTGATAAAGGAAACTGCAAATACTGTACAAAAACCCCCCACAAATGATCAAGTTAGAATATATGACTATCTCATAAATCTGATGAAATAATGCATACATGCAAAAATCACTGATAACAGTATGTCTAAACCTTAAAAAAAAAGAATTCTAATCAGATCAAGCCTCTAGAAATAATTACAGATACAGCTTTTAGTCCCACCTATACAAAGGAACAACTAAAATTTAAGATAATTCAATCAGCAAAATGCATACTGCAAAAAGTTATAAGGTCAAAAACTAGCTTTCTTGACAAATGAATGGCAAGAGTAAATAATCTGTCCAAACAGTTTCAAAAACAGTAACATGAAGGAGAGGAGAACATTTTCAGACTACCTGGAAAGATTCTTGATGATTTAAAGGATTACTATACTTGATTAAGTTTTTTAAAGGAGTCATAATTTATATAGGAATTTTAAGTGTTTACTCTTTGAAAGCGAGGATTTTGAAACTCCATCTTACATATTTTGGGTATGTTGCCAGGAGAGACCAGTCCTTGGAAAAAGGACATCATGCTTGGAAGGGTGGAGAGTCACCGCAGGAAAGGAAGACCCCGGGCAAGATAAGACTGGCACAGTAATTGGAATAATGGGGGTAGGTGTGTGGGAGACAGTGAGACTGGCTCACAACAGGGCAGAGTTCAGAGCTATTGTTCATAGGATCACTATGAGTCACAGTTGACTGCATGGTACATAACAACATCTATGGATAAAATCATATATTGTCTAGAATCTGCTTTTTAATAAACAGTGGTAGACAAGAGAGAGGAAAAAAAATGGAGAATTAAGATGAAACAACACTGGACATAAGATGATAACTAGAGAAGCTGAGTGACAGATACCAAAGGATTCTCTTATTCCTCTCTACTTTATGCATGCTTGAAATTTACCACAATAAAAAGTCTAAAAAAACCAAAATTTTTCTTTTACTTTAAAAAATGTGAAGCTGATGTAGGTCTGGCGGCCTAGTGGCAAGAAACTGCGCTGCAAATCCGAGAGCCCACAGTTCAAATTCACCAGATGCTCCACGGGAGAAGGAGGGAAAATCTCCTCCTGTGCCAGCTGGATCCAGCTCAATGGTACACATTAAGAAAAATGGGGAAAAACCAAAAACACTGCAGAGGGAACTTAAAAAAGAAAAAGTGAAGCTGAAAATTCCATAAGACAACCCACCAAATAAGTACCAAAAATTACTTTTCTCTCAAGAAGTCAAAGCAAAAATCTTAAAATGATCTAACTAGACCAGTTTTTATGCACACACCTCCCCCCACCTATCCCCATGACAAATGAAATAACTGTACTCACACAGGTAAGTCTTGCTCAAACTACATAACTGCAACATTAGCCTACATTGTAAACCCACAGAGGCAGAAGAACCCACAGAGGTAAACCTGTATAAATACTTTTAAAAAGAAGATAAGAAATTCTTAAGTTGTCTGAAATGTCATCAAAAGTTAAAAAACAAAAGGTCTTAAAGTTATGTTTTTTAAAAAGGTAGATTTGAGAGGCTAAATGCTTGAGTGTGAAAATCTGGAAAATAACTGGTATTCATCTGATGGTAATCATCAATACAAAGCAAAATCTATGCTGTAGTTGACAGGTATTTGATTCATATCGTTGGCAGAAAATAAGGTGGTGGTTGTTGTTATATGCTGTTGAGTCACCTGTGACTCATAACGACCTTATGCACAACAGCCCTAAACCCTGCTCCATCCTGTCCCAATCTTATTATATCTGACACAGCTACTCTCATTACTCCAGTCACAGCAAGGATCTTCCTCTCCTGCACTGTCCCTCTACCCTCCCAAGGATGAGGTCCCTCTCCAAGGACTGATCGATCCCTCCTTGCAACATGTCCAAAGTATGTCAGATGAAGCTTAGTCTAGCTTAAAATGTAGTTTACCCAGTATGAAAGAAGAAATAACGATTTAAATAAATAAAACCCTTTCAAAATAAGTGTACACATTTTTAAATCTTATTAGGAATACAAAGGAGTTCAATGTTAAGGTATAAAACTCAACTTTATATTCTCCTTTAAGAAGAGATAGGCTTCAAAATTTGAAAACAGGCTTTCATTATTGAGAATAAACATTTTCAAAAGAATATGAGTTTGAATTTCTATTTAAAGTTGCTAAAAAGAATAAAATTTAGTAAATAAACTATATACTCTTCTCAGTAAGCACTGTATAACTTAAATAAAACATGAACCTGACCTAGAAACAACATAACTAATTCATAAGCCAATGTAACCTCATTCACCTTTTGTCATTCTGAAAATAGTAAAACCTACTAAATTTAATGTATTTTGACAGTAATACTTTTCAAAATATTGGCAATTCATACTAAAAATTTCATTTTGGGCTAACATATACTGACAACAATTTTTAAAAAATACTTCCTTAGATTTCTTTCAGAGCTTTCATGTGTCTAGGATATTGGGTTTGTTGTTTACAGAAGTGTTCATTTAAGTTATTTCTACAAGTTTACATTAAATATTTTCAAGCATATGTCCTTGTCTACTTTCACTTCCATTTAGTTGGAACAGACACTTAGCTAAGCCTCCACTGGGTTTCCAAAGCTATAAACTACCTGGGAGAATCCAGAGAACAGCGCACAGACTGGAACCACACAGGCATAGTCTCTGGATTAGCAGTGCAATTCACTATGGATTAGGCCAGAGCTCCCTATGTGTCCTTTAGTAACTATACTATTCCACAAGGAAGCCAAAGAAAATTCCAGTGTGACCTCTAAAATGTAATCTTATAGTTATCTGAGAGCACTGCTAAAATAACATAACAAGAATAGCTTATTCTTTACAAAGCTGGCAGAATATAAAGAGCCTGAAGAAATAATAGAGAAATGAAGGTTGTGGCATAAGGATTTTACCACACAGACCTAAATTAACTTTACCAGAAGATTAGGGGTGTTTGTTTGACATTTGTCAATCCTGAAAATTATAATGTAGCTCTTCACTAGAAAAGTATGCTTTTAAGTCACATCAAAATAACCAATAATCCAAAATTATGATGTCAATGCAAAATTTCAAACACAGAAGAGATGATGATTTTGGGATGACCAAAAAAAACCAAACCCAACAAACCATTAAGGAATGATAATGGCTGAACACATGAACTAAAATTAGACACTACTACTTTAGGCTCAGCTCTGCTACTCAATTACCATTTAATCTCTGCATCAATTTTCTCATCATCAGTAAAACTGGAATAATTAAAACATATACCTCAAGTCTATTGTTAGGAGCCCATAAAGTGCTAACATAGTAGCAATGACATTGTATGTACTTCAGTCAATGTCATTCTCACAGAATAAATAACCTTTTTACTCAATTTAAAAAGTTAATTTAAAGGGGAAAAATTATTCGTGCTTTTCACACACACACACACACACACACATACATACAAAATGCATCTTGTGGAATAAAAAAAAAGCACAAAAATAAAGGCTTTATTTTAAAAATTCCGTTAAGGTCATAGCTTTATGTAATTTAGGGATCATTGAATGCAATTATCAAATAAAAACCACACACTACAATTTTTCATGGGATGTCCATTTATCCTAAAATTAGGTGAAATCAGAAAACCATGTATACATTTTTAAAACATGGGCTACTGCTGTGCAATACATAAAATGATGAAACGGCCAGTTTCAAAATTTTCCCACAAAGTATTTAAATAAAATAAGTAGGAAATAAAAAGTTACCTTTGTACAATAAAGCATCCAGAGTTCAAAGAGCCTCTCCCTGGATGCCATTCTGGCTGGTACTCTGCCACTTTAACTTTTCCTCAGGAAAAGAAAAATAAAATTATGTTCAAGACCACAGCATGTTCATTTTATTTTGCAAGTTTTTCAGTCGTTCCAGTAATGCTCACAGTAGCAGGGAAACAAAAAGAAGTGAGACGAAAGGACTGTCTTCTGCTCCACTAAGTTTCAACAGTTACTCCAATGTTATCTTCAAGCAGTGGTAGATATCTGATCAATCAAAAGAAATCTGTGAAAAGAAACACCACCACCCAAAGGTTAGAAAAAGAGGTCCTTCCTACTACAAAAAAAAAAATAAAATTTAGATTTATCACAAATTAGGAAAAAATTATCTGCTTCACTTCCCACAAGCCGGCTTACATGTTTACACTGATCAGATTTCACAAAACCTTCTGTTTCAGAGAGGAAAATCACAGCTCACACGCTATTTCACAGCAATACTAAGAGAAAAAGCTCCGAGCGGACTCAAAAGGTAAATCCAGAGCTAAGAAACATACGAGCAACAAATGGCAAACAGGTCTATTTTCTATAGAAAAACAAAAAAAAAGGCGTACTTTCTAGGGACAGGTTCCAAAGACTTGGGAGCTGTGAGCATTTCCTAGTGTGCTGCTTGAAAGTTGAGTGTTTGTTGTTATGTGGCCGGGCGTGGGGGAAGGGGGAGGAATTCCTGGTCGGTTTGTCCTAACAATCCTCTAACTGAGCAAGTCCACCCTCCCACCTGGCCTCTCCACCTCTTCACCCAGGAAGAAAGGAGCCCGCACACGCCAGCAAGGAGAACACCCCGGGGAAACCTCCAAGTGTTTTCGGGGATCTTTAAATTTCTTATTTCCTCCTCACATCCCAGACAACAGAATCGAAGGCAAACTTAAGGTCTGTCAAGCTGCCAAGAGGAGCTTCAGAAATGGAGCAACGCAAGCTCGGGGTGTCTACACCCGCGACATCCAAGCTCCGTCCAAGTGCACCGGGACACGCCCGGGACCTCCTCACGCCCCACAGCTGGCCTTACTCGACCCTCTCCACCCCCGAGCGCCCCAGGCGCTGCCTCTTCCCGCCCCGCGCGCGGCTCCTTCTCCCGCGCTGCCCGCTTCCCTCACCGCGCTCACTCGGTAGTCCGCACCGCTGCCGCTGGGCCGCTGTCTAACTTGCCTCCCACGACCCCCTCCCGAGCCTAAACCCGTGTCACCCCGCAGGCTGGCAGGCGGGAGGTCTGGAGAGGGAGGCGGGGCAGCGACGGCGTGAGGCGGGGCACGAGGGTCGCCAGGAGCCAGGGGCGGGGCTGCCCCCTGGCCGAATCATTCCGGCCCCAGACGATTTACCCAGCCCCGGGGCAGCCGCTGATTCATTGGCCGCGCAGGCTGGGAGGGGTTAAGGAGCCCCGAAGGCCCGCCCTAACATACTTGCGCAGCCGCAGTCCGCCAGGCTCCTGTTGCCTTGCCCACAACTGGCGCCGGGCCAGACCATCAAGTCAGAGTCTTCCCCGAGCCTGGCAGGGGAAGACGAGAACTGGAGAGAGCCGACCGCTGACGTACAAACCCCGCCCCTATTAGGGTGGGCCGTAGGGGGCGACGCTGTAGACGTCACTTCCGGAAGTCGGCTGAGGGCGGAGTATTCCTTCCCGAAGACTCAAGTTTACTGCTCTCCAGTGGGAAACTTCTGATAGTAAATCCTCCCGCAAGTTGTCAGAGGCTGTAAATATCACGGGATGAGATTTCCCATCTTGTTCCCACGAACCAGCTGAGGAGTTCAAACCTCCTGAGAGGGGAGGCCTTTGGCTTAACAGTACAAGTCCCTAAAACGAAGAATTTGTTTCTGATTTTCAGCAATATCCTGTTTACAACCACGGAAACACAAAGGAGGGTCAGCTATAAATTGGATCCAACTTGTCCACAATGAGATTAAGTTTTCTTTTTGTGGGTTTTTTTAGTTCTAGGTGTAATAAAAGGATTAGTCTTGTAAGATTGCAGAATTGTAAAAACAAACACACCCAATAAATTCCTTTCCTTAGTTGGTATGCATTGTTTTTCCATCTGCGTGTCAACTCTAAAGCTTTATTTTACCACTGTTAACTAAGTGCCTTAGCACCAGCTGTCAGGAAATTAAAACACGAATTGGGAAAACACACACTAGGGAAATCTGTCAGGGACCTCTCCAGAATGTTAAAGAACAACAACGTCAATCTACAGACTAAGGTGCGCCTGAACCAGGCCGTGGTCTTCGCAATTACTTGCTACCATCAGAAAGCTGGACAATGAATAATGATGACAAAAGGACTGATGCCTGTGAGTTGTGGAGCTGGAGAAGATTTGGACTGCCAAAAGAACAAACAGGTCTGTCCTGGAGGGAATGAAGCCAAATTGCGCATTGGAGGCAAGGATTTTGAAACTCAGTCTCACATAGTTTGGGCACACGGCCAGAGGGACCAGTCCTTGGAGAAGGACATCATGCTTGGAAGGGTGGAGGGGAAGTGTAAGAGAGGAAGACACAGTATGAGGTGGATTGACACAGTAACTGAGATAATAGGAGTAGGTGTGTTGGAGACAGACTGGCTCAAGATAGGACAGGGTTCAGAGCTATTGTACATAGGATAACTAAGAGCCACTATCGAATAGATAGCACATATTAAGTGTCTTCACTCTCTTCTGAGAAGTATGCGCTCCAGGTCTTCCCTGATTCTGGCAAATTATTTTAGTTGTCATCTAAGTGTCTGCTATGTGCCATCAGTGGTCCTCTGCTAAAAATACTAATGGCTGCCTTTGATTTGAAGAGTCCCCTAAGGACACTTGGACTTCCCATTAAGCCACTTTTTCTCTTGAAGGACTTCACGAATTCTACCAGAGAATACACTTATTTAATAAGACTGTGACGAGGCACCTTCTAAATGAACAATCCCACTTTACTATGTAAAAAAACATATTTCTAGTCAACTGATGAATGGATAGTACATACATACAAGGGAATACTATGAAATTGTTGGGGTGGCGGGGAGAGGCAGGCAGGAGAAATCATGAAATAGAACATGGACGAACCTGAAGGGCAAAAGAGAGAAAGAGACTTAATAAAATGGATTGTCACTGTGACGAGAGCAATAGGCTCAAGAATGTAAGAGATGATTAGATGGTACAGGATAGGACAGGGTTCAGAACTTTTAATCTGTGGGTCACTATGAATCATAATCAACTCTACAGCATGTAACAGCAACATTTACCTGCTATTTACCTGAATCTCGCCTTCCATGTGTGACGTCCTTTGTATCCCCCCCACCTCAAACTTTTTCCCTAATAAGCCCCACAACTGTGAGTTAAAGGAGATTCTGTAAAGTCTGTGTGGCAATTTGCAGTTAATACCAAACCCATTAATTATTAGAAATAGGTGTAGCACTGTGGAAGACTATATCTGACTTTATCAGTTTTATACTTTTCAAAGGACTGACCCCTCCTAACAACATGTCCGAAGTATGTCAGATAAAATTTCACTATCCTTGCCTCTGAGGAGCAACTTGGCTATATCCCTTCAAAGATATACTTGTTTGTCCTTTTGGCAATTGATGGGATGATATTCTGCATTTTTATCCCCCTGCACCACAACTCAAAAACTCTGTCATCCTTTTAATGTCCAACTTTCAGATGTGTAACAAGTGGCTGAAAAGACCCCGGATTGAATCAAACACACCTTCACATGGATATCTTTGCTCTTCAAGACTTTGGCAAAGGTCCCTGAAAGACAACTTTCCTAAACCTATACATCTATTTTCCTAAATGTTGGTACCAAGGTATTGATTGTAGATACAAGCCTTTTCTCCATCTATCATGTTGTTGCCTATTGGTCTAGTGGTATTTTTGTTTCTTGATGTTGAGAGGTAATCCTTATCAATGGCTTTGTAGTCTTTGCTCATCTACAGCAGGCATTTCAAGTACTTCTCACTTTTGTGCAAATTTTGAGTCATCTGCATAACACAGGTTATTGATAAGCCTTCCTCCAATCCTAATGCCACATTCTTATATATATAGTTCAGCTTCTCAAATTTCTTCTCCAGATTGAAAAAGGTATGGAGCCAATTAATGATAATACATGCAAATCTTATTCAATTGAGACATGTTAGATTCTCAAGTGTCTCTGCAATTACTCTTAAAACCCCTCAATATGTTCAAAGGCCCTGGCTGTAGACTTTGACTTACAGTGAACTTCAAGGAGAGAATAGAGCTGCTTTAAAGGATTTTCAAGGTTGTAATTTTCACAAAAGCTAACTACCATGTCTTTCTCCCACATCATCAGGTTAGGAACCCTGCCACAGATGTTGTTGTTGTATGTTATGTTGTTGTATGTGTTATGTTATGTGCTAGCGGCTCATAGCGATCCTGTGTACGACAGCTCTGAACCCTGCTCTACTGTGCGCCAACCTTATTTTTATTTTCTCTGACACACCTACCCCATTACCCTAGTCACTGAATCAATTCATCTCATCAAGGTTCGCTGCCCCTCCACCTTCTCAACAATGATGTCCCTCTTCAAGGACTGGTCCCTCCTTGCAACATGCTCAAAGTATGTCAGACAGAGCTTCAGAATCCTTGCCTCCAAGGACTGCCTGGTTTCACCCTCTGTAGAATGAACCTGTTTGTTCTCCTGCCAGTAACCAAGTAATTATAAACAGGAGAGAACCTAAATTTAAGGTTACAATTCAGAGTGATAAGGGAACTTTGGTGGCCTAGTGGCAAGAAGCTGTGCCACAGTCCCAAACGCACATGGTTCGAATCCACCAGATACTCCACTAGAAAAGGTTCTGATTCTATGGCACACAACAAGGAAATAAAAAAGTGGGAGGAATCAAAGTGATATTTAAAATTATACCTTCAAACATTGACTGGATACTTGACAGAATTATCCTCTTCGAGTTTCAATTCCCAATTTATAATATGGCAACAGTAATTGCTTCTTTAGAATTGCTATAAAGATTGAGGATGCTATATAAAAATATAATTAATGTATCATATTACTCTGCTATTTAATAAATTTCAGTTTCTTTCCCTTTGTCCCTTGCAGTCTGAAAATTACCATAATCAATAGAAACAAAGCCTCCAAAATGCCTCTCAGGAAATTGAATGATAACAAGAAAATAACTTATTACCTAGTTATGCATCAGATTCATCGAATTAATATCTGTTTCACTTTTATTTGTTGCTCTACATCAAATCCTTGTTGAGAGATGCCTATGTCATGAGAAATATTGTTAACATTGGGGTCCAAATGAATAGTGTCCACAAGTTATGTGTTCTAGACACAATGTATCATAGAGAACCAGTGAATTCTAGAAATAGTTGTTTTTATGTGCTGTTCAATCACTATGACTCATAACAACTTTTTGAACAGCAGATCTGAACCTTGACCTATCTTGTGTGACCCTCAGCTCTCTCATATGCTAGAGCCTGTCCTTAGACTCATTGTACCACTCCATCTAGCTGAAGGTCTTCCTTTCTTTCTGTGATCCTCCACCTTTCCCAGCATGATGTCTGGGAAAGACTAGCCCCTCTTGACAACATGCCCTGTTGTTGTGTTGTTGAGTTCCACTGAGTCTGAACAACCCATAGGTGACCCTCTAGTGGGTTTTCAGAGGCAGTTAATCACATGGGATGATTACTGTTGCCATCCTTCTCTCACAGAGCGGCTGTTGGATTCAAACTGCATGCCTTCTGGATTGCAGTACAGTTTCTTACCACTAGGCCACCTGAGGTCCCGAAGGAATCTCATACCATTCACCCTTAATTCCTTGGTTGCAGAAGAAACAGAATCAGGGAAATGAAGTGGTTCACCCAAGATTACAGTCTAAGCAAGTGTAGAACTAATTATCTTCTTTTTACTACTTGAGAGCAGTTTTCTATATTTTACAAACAACTTATTAAGATCATGTACTGCTTCAACCTCTAGTTTATTTCCTGAAACAAGACCTTTAGCCAAAGGTTATAGATAAAAGCAGAGCCATTAACAGACACAAAAGTGCAGGCTTAAACCTGAATTTAGCCATTCACAGCAGATGAATCAACCCATAACCAACTGCTACAAATAACTGAACAAATAATAATTTTAAACCATCTTTTCCTCCTTTACGATTTTTAAAGTGGAAATGAGTAACACTTTAGCTTCTGTGCTTACCACTACAGAATGAAATCAATGGAACTTTAAACGCTAGTGCAATTACAAATTAAAATGATCTCAGTGTTTCCGTGGAACAAAAAAGAACTTGTGAGTAAAGAAGTACTACTCTGCAACTGGTAAGAGAAGTGTGTTGCGCTCAAAGCCAGACATTGTTTTAGAAATGCTAGAAATGATGTTTGATTTTCTTCATGCTTTTATCTTTTGGTTAAATTCTTCTCAAAGGTCTAAATTCACTTGCTTTTTTTTCTTTAAATTTTATTTTATTATTATTTTGTGTGTCTGTGTACCGTCAAATCGGATCTGACTGGTAGAGGAGGAGATTGTCCCTCCTTTCCCGGCAGAGCATCTGGTGGATTCGAACCATGCACCTCTGGGATTGCAGTGCAGCTTAAAAACTCTTATTATTTTCTGTGTGTATTGTCAAATTGGATCTGACTGGTACAGGAGGAGATGGCCCCTCCTTCTCCAGCAGAACATCTGGTGGATTCGAACCACAATTCTCTGGGGTTGCAGTGCAGCTTCTTGCCACTAGGCCACCAGAGCTCCCCCTAAATTCACTTGCTTTTTTTTTTTTTTTTTTGCTAGAACATAATTCACTTTATTTGTTATAGAAAATCCACTAGGTGGTGGCCACAGCTGGAGCCTGAGTCCTCTGCGCGGAGACTCTGGTGTGAGTCTTTACAAGATGATCTGTGAATTCCTGGTAGGGAGACTTCCAGAGATCTGGGGTCAGATAGCTGTAGGTCTTTGAGATGGCATCAAAGGTGGCCTTAGCAAAGTTGCCCAGGGCACTTGCTTTTTAAGTGAATATAACTGGATCTCAAACATAATGTATTTCTTGTGTAAGCAAATGTGAAAAGAGGAAAGAACTCTCTAAGACAATTGTGTTCAGATATTTTAATCTTTTTAAAGCCAGAATTTATATCTATCACTTAAATTTTTTTTTCCTACTACCTAACTTTTATTTGGAACTCTGGTGGGCTGGTGGTGAGGACTTGCACTGTTAACCCAAAGTCATGCAGTTCAAATCCACCAGATGCTCCATGGGAGAAAGATGGGCAATCTATAGCCACTAAAAATATTCACTGGAGCTCAGTTCTGACTCTGAGGTACATAACAACTATATTTAGGGTAAAAGTAAAATATTCTGATAGTTTATTGAACATCAGTATTTAATCATGTGTTAAAAAAAAATAAGAATTATAGTTTATAGTTGTTACTGTGAGTTGCCAGACAAACTGACTCCAACTTCTCGCAATTGTATGTATAACAGAACAAAACCATGCCCAAGCATGTGCAACCCTCACAGTCTCTGCTTAGCTGAAGCTTATTTTTGCAGTCACTGTATCATTTCATCTAATTTAAGGGTATACCTCTTTTTATTGACTCCCTATTCCTCCAAGACAAGGATTCAAATCCACTGCCAATTCAAATGCAGATGGATTAAATCCTTCAGTTCCTCTGTGGGAGAAAGACTGGCAATCTACCAAGCAATTTATGACCTCTAAAAGCCCCCTGGAGAGTTAGCAATGAATCGGTTTTTACTTGCTGGCACACACAACATACAGATTCACATTTATCTGAACAAATCGATCTAAAATTGTTTTTTAAGAAAACCTAGAAATACCAGGACTTTCATTTGCATCTCAAAAAAACTCCCACCTTCTTATTTCCTTTAAGTTGGAATTGACTCATAGCTGACCCTCAATGGAATTTTCAAGAGACAATAAATCACACAAGATCTTTCTATCTTGGCATAATTGGAGGATTCAAATTGCCTACCTTTGGGATGGCGTACAGTTCTTTACCTTCTAGCCTGCCCAAGCTCCCTTCACTTGTGTAAGATTGTTAAACATAAATATGGAGTGGTGGCATTGTG